TTAAAGTAACCTCATATTTTATTATAGTTTTTTCCTTTTTCTGGTATTCTTCGCCTAATTGCAATCAACAACTATTTTATTATCACCAGTATTCTGAAAGGTCTAGATGAGTTTTGATAATCAAATTTAAGCAATATAAAATTATTAATACCATCTTTTTTTTTAAAAAAAAATTTCTAACTATGGTTCAGGTATGTTGAAAGCCAATAATAAAAAAATAAATATTAATAATTTAAATATTAATTGCTTATATACCCTTGAAGAATTTGAATTCATTAATGACCAACTCAAGACACATACTCTAGATATTAACAGACAACCAGTTAACCTTTTTAATTTTGATAAAAATGGCAAGCTTATTCCTATACCACAATTACTCTATTCTAGAGAGATAGTTGCTACTAAGATTATTAGACAACTTGGTGATTAGAATATCTGAACAAAGCAAAATGAGGGTGTTATCTCATCACAGAAAGAATTTGATTTTGATGTTGCAGATAGTAGAATGATTAAAGTATCGGATATTGCTTATATACCTAAAGAAATATATTGTTTATTGGACAAAAAACAAAATTAGAGTTTTCATAGTAAACCATTTATCTCTGTATTTGTAGTTAAAATCTGAAATATTTCAAGTCACTCAAAGTTTGAGAAACTTGATAGAAAATTCAAGGATATATATTTCGCAAAGAGGATATCTGTACAACTGGAATGGTTAATAGACCCAGAAAATAAAGAGATCTGCATATATAAAAGAGGCCAACACCATATTAATCACGGATAGAAAGATATTGTTGGTAAAAACTTTTACCAAGGTTTACTCTAGAAATATAAAAAATTAAACATGCAATATCTCAGGTGTGTTTTTGTTATTTCTACTTTTTGACATATTATTAATTATATATTTCTTGGGTTAATTATAGCGAGAATCAGCATCACCTGAACTAACTAAAAATAATACACCATACAATTGTCCTTACTGTTTAGAATCCTTGACTAGCATATATAATATGATAAAACATATTAAGAGTAATCATATATACAAACAAAGATGTACTGATTAGTATATGAGTTAGACTTATTACTTCTGGGAAAATGCATATTTATGATACTTTTTCAGTATAATAAACTCAATAAATAAAGTATCTATTTATTTTTTGTTTGTGGCAGAGATATCTCATGACAGAAGCAATCGTAATTGCACTAGGAGTCTCAATAGGATTAGCTGATAGGGTCATTCCTGCTTGCCAAAGCAAGCTAGCTGCAAGTGAAGAAATGATGAAATAGTTGTTGATTGCAATTAGGCGAAGAATACCAGAAAAAGGAAAAAACTATAATAAAATATGAGGTTACTTTAA